GAATTGACAAGGATGGCAACCCCATCGTGGGGATCATAGGGGGACTGTAGTGCAGTATAACCATAATGGCGGATACATTGAGGGGCTTTGAGGCAGGTACTGTTTAGCAAAACAATATCTGGGCTCTCTGCTTCAAGGAGCTCGGCCAGTAGGTGTCTAATTGTAAAGTAAGAACGTACGTTGAACTGAATCACCTTAAACGTGATTTAATGGTTTCGTCTTAGCAAAGTTAATGTCGGGGGAGGAGTTTGGATTAAAGCCCGTGATAGTAGTGCCATCAGTGGATGTGTGTTTGTAGGTGCTACGGACCCGTTTCCTGGAGGGGGAGGAAGAGATGGATCTGTTTTTATGTTCTTTGGTCTGTCCGTCAGAAGTTGGGGTAGGTTTAGGTTTGAGTGGATTTTGTCTGGAGGAGGTGGAGTTGGACCTGGATGAGGTTTTGGTTGTGGTGGAGTGTGGCGAAGTGGATGCAGAGGAAGTTGGAAGTTTTGTAAGCTGTGAGGAAGTGGAATGCTTTGGAAGGGATGAAGTGGGTAAGGAAGTGGGGGGAGGGTGGTTGTAGCAGTAGCAGTAGGGGTGTTGGTGGGAGGTGTAGAAGTAGTGAAGAGAGGTAGTGGAGGAGGAGAGCTGGTGGGAGTAGGAAGTGGGGGGGTGGGAGAGAGGAAGGAGGGAGAGGTTGTAGGAGGCTTGGAAGAGAAGCAGGAAGGAGGGATAATTAAAGAGGGAAGATTGTTAGCAGACAAGATTAGGTAAAGGACATGTGAGTAGTCTGATTGGTAAGCTTGTGAGATTACCATCGCAGAGTGGGCAGCAGTGGCAAGTTGACAGTTAGTTTTGTAGTCTAGTGTGGGTGTAGAAGGAGAAGTGCTTGTAGTCTGTGTGTTGGTGTTTTGATGTGTGTAGAGTAGAAGAGGTAGACCAAGTGCGTGGGGAGGCCCAGGCATTGGGGGTAGGGGAGGGAGGTGTGGAAGGGGAGGTAGGTAAGGAAGGGGAGGGAGGAGCAGGGAAGGGGTTGGGGAGGGAGGGAGGTTGGCTTGCTCTGAGGGGGGAGAGAATGTGCTTTCTAGAAGGGCAGGAATTTGCAACTGCAGTGTGTGACCCGCCGCAGTTAGAACATCTAAGGGGGAGGTTGCAAGTATTCCAGAAGTGGCCAGTTGCTGAACATCTGGAGCAGACTTGTGTAGATGTGCATGTGTTTTTGTCGTGGCCGAATTTGTAGCATTTAAGACATTGTGTGATTGGGTGGAAGTTCGGAGTGAAGAGAGCGTTTGGAGGAATGCGGATGGTCTTGGCAAAGATTCCTTGACTGAAGAGTGTAGAGGCGTCAGCAGGAGTAGAACAGCGTATTTTGAGAATGGTAGAGTTTTCTGGTCTGTAAATATCGTCAACAGAGACTTTGTTCTTAGTACTGATATCTTTTATTAAGTCTTCTTTGTCTGTGTCATAGGCTGTCAGGAGAGAGTAGTCTACGTGTTTAGCAATGACTGTGCTTTTGGCACGGTGCTCAGGAGTCCAAATAATGGTGAAGCCTGCGTTGAGAAGTTTTTGTCTGGTATCGCTTGAGGTGTACGCTTCGTAGGAATGTTTGTCAAGAAGGAGTTTGAAGCCTGAGTTGGTTTTGAAGACTTTAAGTTGAGGTGCACCAGTGATCTGATATAATAAATTTTCCGGACAGATAGTGGCATCAGGATTAGAAAATTTGAGGTTTAGCGAGAAGGAATTGGATTTAGAAGAAGCAGAGGCAGGTGTGGGAGGTTGGGGGAGAGTGGAAGGGGGGGTGGGAGGTGGAAGGCAACGAAGGCATCGTCTAATTATGAAAAGATGTAATTGGAGGTGACAATCGGCCAAAAAGTGAGAGTACTCAGCTAGGCAAGTACGTGTAAGTAGACACACGTACTTGCCTGGCGCAGGACACTGAGGAGGTGAACTGTAGCTTGATGGAGCACTGTATATCCTGAGTGGTGGCGAGACTGGCTGTATGGCGTGCAGTCAACAGGCGAAGAGAATTCAGGCAGCAAGAGGCTTCCTGCCCTTCGGTCGGCAACCACCGACGCACCAATCCTGATGGTGGAGAGGAAGACGAAGGTCCAGCAAGCTCTACTCAAAGCACTACTCAACACGAGGTAATTCGAGAGAGGCGAGATCGTCGATGTGTTAGGTAAGCACACGTCACCACTCGAGCTGAGTCGACTGACCGTGACAGCATAGGGCTGTAGACGTGGCTTATATACTGTAGTGAGGTGAGGCGAAGCAGGCGGAGGCGGGGTCATAGTGGTACCATCCACTAGTCGAAGTAGGTCTTCGTCCAAAGGTTGAACAAGTGTTGAAGAATTCTTTGTAACAAGATCCCATGATGCTGCAGTGTCTGACAGTTGTGATGAATGGTTTGAAAAACCGACAAGTTGAAGATTGAGACACTTATGCAGCATATGGGAATCTTTATTCAGGAAACGTTTCGCCACACAGTGGCTTCATCAGTCCGATACAAAGTAGAAAGGCGTAAGGACTGATGAAGCCACTGTGTGGCGAAACGTTTCCTGAATAAAGATTCCCATATGTTGCATAAGTGTCTCAATCTTCAACTTGTCGGTTTTTCAAACCATTCATCACAATAGTGAGATAGTTCACAATATTTAAGAATATAACAATTTGTAAATTTAGTAATGAGAATGGTTTTGTGTTGGCATGATACACAGTTGTTATTAAAGCTCCTGTATTGTGTACTCACCTAGTTGTACTCACCTAGTTGAGGTTGCAGGGGTCGAGTCCAAGCTCCTGCCCCCGCCTCTTCACTGGTCGCTACTAGGTCACTCTCCCTGTGTTAGTTACTATTTTGTCCTAGGCACATGTCGATTAGACACTAGGCCTGTTGTATATGAGTACGTGTGTGTGTGTGTGTGTGATAAGATAAGATTTCGTTCGGATTTTTAACCCCGGAGGATTAGCCACCCAGGATAACCCAAGAAAGTCTGTGTGTGTGTGTGTGTGTGTGTTAGTTACCATTTTGTCCTAGGCACATGTCGATTAGACACTAGGTTGTGTGTGTGTGTGTGTGTGTGTGTGTGTGTGTGTGTGTGTGTGTGTACTCACCTAGTTGTGGTTGCAGGGGTGGAGACTCAGCTCCTGGCCCCGCCTCTTCACTGTGTGCTACTAGGTCCTCTCTCTCCCTGCTCCATGAGCTTTATCATACCTCATCTTAAAACTATGTTTGGTTCCTGCCTCCACTACCTCACTTGCTAGGCTATTCCACTTCCTGACTACTCTATGACAGAAGAAATATTTCCTATCATCCCTTTGACTCATCTGGGTCTTCAACTTTCAAATGTGACCCCTTGTTTCTGTGTCCCATCTCTGGAACATCCTGTCTCTCTCCACCTTGTCTATTCCATGCAGTATTTCGTATATCGTTATCATGTCTCCCCTGACCCTCCTGTCCTCCAGTGTCGTGTGTGTGTGTGTGTATGTGTGTGTGTGAATATGTGTTTTTCATGTAGTTGGCTGACGGTGGGGTATGTTTGGGAGATAAGATGTTTTTTGACGGCAGTTTTAAAAATGGTGACTGAGTCTGTAATTCTAGAGTTTTCAGGTAGGTAGTTCTAGATTTTAGGCCCTTGAATGTACATTAAAAGTTTCTATAGATTTAGCCGGACACACACTAGGTGAGTACACACACACACTAGGTGAGTACACACACACTAGGTGAGTACACACACACACTAGGTGAGTACACACACACACTAGGTGAGTACACACACACACTAGGTGAGTACACACACACACTAGGTGAGTCACACACACACACTAGGTGAGTACACACACACTAGGTGAGTACACACACACACTAGGTGAGTACACACACACACTAGGTGAGTACACACACACACTAGGTGAGTACACACACACACTATGTGAGTACACACACATGCTAGGTGAGTACACACACACACACTAGGTGAGTACACACACACTAGGTGAGTACACACACACTAGGTGAGTACACACACACACTAGGTGAGTACACACACGCTAGGTGAGCACACACACACACACTAGGTGAGTACACACACACACTAGGTGAGTACACACACACATTTGTGATTGATTGATTGGTCATATAACGTGCACTAAGGGGTGTAGTTGCGCTACATTTAGCAGTTACCTGCGCTGCTTTAGCAGTTACTTGCGCTACATTTAGCAGTTACTTGCGCTACTTTAGCAGTTACTTGCTCTACATTTAGCAGTTACTTGCGCTACTTTATCAGTTACTTGCGCTCCTTTAGCAGTTACTTGCGTTACTTTAGCAGTTGAGCTACATTTAGCAGTTACTTGCGCTACATTTAGCAGTTACTTATGCTACATTTAGCAGTTACTTGCGCTACATTTAGCAGTTACTTGCGCTACTTTTGCAGTTACTTGTGCCACATTTAGCAGTAACTTGCGCTATTTTATCAGTTACTTGCGCTCCTTTAGCAGTTGAGCTACATTTAGCAGTTACTTGCGCTACATTTAGCAGTTACTTGCGCTACTTTATCAGTTACTTGCGCTCCTTTAGCAGTTACTTGCATTACTTTAGCAGTTGAGCTACATTTAGCAGTTACTTGCGCTACATTTAGCAGTTACCTGCGCTACTTCAGCAGTTACTTGCGCTACTTTAGCAGTTACTTGCGCTACTTTATCAGTTACTTGCGCTCTTGTAGCAGTTACTTGCGTTACTTTAGCAGTTGAACTACATTTAGCAGTTACTTGCGCTACATTTAGCAGTTACGTGCGCTACTTTGTCAATTACTTGCGCTCCTTTAGCAGTTACTTGCATTACGTTAGCAGTTGAGCTACAGTTAGCAGTTACTTGCGCTACATTTAGCAGTTACGTGCGCTACTTTATCAATTACTTGCGCTCCTTTAGCAGTTACTTACATTACTTTAGCAGTTGAGCTACATTTAGCAGTTACTTGTGCTACATTTAGCGGTAAGTTGCGCTACTTTAGCAAGTATTGTGAGAGGTGTGGCAACAGTGTGAGTGACGTCAGGTGTTGTTGTGGTGGTGAAGCTCCAACATTATCTTAAACTGCAAGTGTTGGAGGTTGTGAGGGAGGAAGGTAACACTGGTGAGTTGTGTTGGAGGTTGTGAGGGAGGAAGGTAACACTGGTGTGTTGTGTTGGAGGTTGTGAGGGGGAAGGTTAACACTGGTGATTTGTGTTGGAGGTGTGAGGGAGGAAGGTAACATGGTGAGTTGTGTTGGAGGTTGTGAGGGAGGAAGGTAACACTGGTGAGTTGTGTTGGAGGTTGTGAGGGAGGAAGGTAACACTGGTGAGTTGTGTTGGAGGTTGTGAGGGAGGAAGGTAACACTGGTGAGTTGTGTTGGAGGTTGTGAGGGAGGAAGGTAACACTGGTGAGTTGTGTTGGAGGTTGTGAGGGAGGAAGGTAACACTGGTGAGTTGTGTTGGAGGTTGTGAGGGAGGAAGGTAAAAACTGGTGAGTTGTGTTGGAGGTTGTGAGGAGGAAAGTAACACTGGTGAGTTGTGTTGGAGGTTGTGAGGAGGAAGGTAATGCTGGTGAGTTGTGTTGGAGGTTGTGAGGGAGGAAGTAACACTGGTGAGTTGTGTTGGAGGTTGTGAGGGAGGAAGGTAACACTGGTGAGTTGTGTTGGAGGTTGTGAGAGAGGAAGGTAATGCTGGTGAGTTGTGTTGGAGGTTGTGAGGGAGGAAGGTAACACTGGTGTGTTGTGTTGGAGGTTGTGAGGGAGGAAGGTAACACTGGTGAGTTGTGTTGGAGGTTGTGAGGGAGGAAGGTAACACTGGTGAGTTGTGTTGGAGGTTGTGAGGGAGGAAGGTAACACTGGTGAGTTGTGTTGGAGGTTGTGAGGGAGGAAGGTAACGCTGGTGAGTTGTGTTGGAGGTTGTGAGGGAGGAAGTAACACTGGTGAGTTGTGTTGGAGGTTGTGAGGGAGGAAGTAACGCTGGTTTTTTAGTTGTGTTGGAGGTTGTGAGGGAGGAAGTAACACTGGTGAGTTGTGTTGGAGGTTGTGAGGGAGGAAGGTAACACTGGTGAGTTGTGTTGGAGGTTGTGAGGGAGGAAGGTAACACTGGTGAGTTGTGAGGGAGGAAGGTAACACTGGTGAGTTGTGTTGGAGGTTGTGAGGGAGGAAGGTAACACTGGTGAGTTATGTTGGAGGTTGTGAGGGAGGAAGTAACACTGGTGAGTTGTGTTGAAGGTTGTGAGGGAGGAAGTAACACTGGTGAGTTATGTTGGAGGTTGTGAGGGAGGAAGGTAACACTGGTGAGTTGTGTTGGAGGTTGTGAGGGAGGAGTATAACACTGGTGAGTTATGTTGGAGGTTGTGAGGGAGGAAGGTAACACTGGTGAGTTGTTGATGGAGGTTGTGAGGGAGGAAGTAACACTGGTGAGTTGTGTTGGAGGTTGTGAGGGAGGAAGGTAACACTGGTGAGTTGTGTTGGAGGTTGTGAGGGAGGAAGGTAACACTGGTGAGTTGTGTTGGAGGTTGTGAGGGAGGAAGGTAACGCTGGTGAGTTGTGTTGGAGGTTGTGAGGGAGGAAGGTAACACTGGTGTGTTGTGTTGGAGGTTGTGAGGGAGGAAGGTAACACTGGTGTGTTGTGTTGGAGGTTGTGAGGGAGGAAGTAACACTGGTGAGTTGTGTTGGAGGTTGTGAGGGAGGAAGGTAACACTGGTGAGTTGTGTTGGAGGTTGTGAGGGAGGAAGGTAACACTGGTGAGTTGTGTTGGAGGTTGTGAAGAGTGGTGGGGTGTGTTGTCCGGCACAGGAGCTGCGACTTAACCCCCACAACCACTACTAGGTGAGTACAAGAGTTGGTGATTATCACACAGCAGCGTTTTGTTGGGTTATTAATGGTGGTCGTCCGAGGATGATCCTCGGTCACAACTACCATAGGTAAGGTAGAGGTATATTAATGTTAGGAGTGTTGTCTGGGGTTCATAGTATCGTATCTTGGAAAGGACGCCAACATTTTGGGAAAATTTCTTAGTTATATGCTGGATGTGGAACTGAAATTTAAGATTGGAGTCAAGGTGACGACCTAGAAATTTTCCCTCAGTGTTTTATAATGGGTGAACAATTTATCAATATGTTTAGTTGGATATTTAATGCTCTGCTTCCAAAAAACATGAATTAAGTTTTGTCTGTATTGAGTGTAAGCTTGTTGATCGTCATCCAGTTTGATATTTTATGTAGCTCGCTGTTTACGGTATTACTAAGTATAGACGGGTTTGGGTGGTACAAGACTTAAGTGGTTTCATCTGTGAATAAAACTGGTTTATCAATCAATCAAAGTTTATTCTCTATAAGGATTACAATGCGGGGTTTACAGATTTTAGTTATTGTGTGGTTTACATGTAATAAAATACTAAGTACAGAGGGGGCCACTAGGACACCTAGCATGGCTAGGCATTTTGGGCAAACGTAAGATAAGATTAAGATAAGATTTCGATCGGATTTTTAACCCCGGAGGGTTAGCCACCCAGGATAACCCAAGAAAGTCAGTGCGTCATCGAGGACTGTCTAACTTATTTCCATTGGGGTCCTTAATCTTGTCCCCCAGGATGCGACCCACACCAGTCGACTAACACCCAGGTACCTATTTGCTGCTAGGTGAACAGGACAACAGGTGTAAGGAAACGTGTCGAAATGTTTCCACCCGCCGGGAATCGAACCTGGGCCCTCCGTGCGTGAAGCGGGAGCTTTAGCCACCAGGCCACCAGGCCACCCAATTATTACAAATTATTACAAATTCTGGAGTTAAGTTGACTAAATACTAAGTGACTAAATACTAGTTTGTGAGTTTAGCAATGTGAATGCTTTTGTTTTGGCATAATACATTGTTTCTATATTGGAGTATCATAGGCAAACTTGTGACTAGTTAGGAATCATTATTTTAAGATTAAGATTCGTATTTCTGTGATTATAGTCAAATGGGTGAGTGAGTGTAATTTTGAACCACCAGGTGGTTATCATGTAGTTAGTTGTCGGGGTGGATCAGGGAGATAAGATGTTTTCTAACGGTAGTTTTGAAGGTGATGAATGTGTCTGCAGTTCTAGAGTTTTCAGGGAGGGTGTTCCAGATTTTAGGGCCTTTGACATACATTGAATTTTTGTAAAGGTTTAGTCAGTAAGTAAGTATGTTTATTCAGGTACACACAAATACAGTTACATATGTTATCATACATAACAGTATATATGTGTAGAGAACCTACGATAACCAAAAAAAAAGTCAGAGTGACTTATTTCCATTGGGATCCTTTAAAGAGTCATGATGCAGTTGGGAGGTCATTGATGTAAATAAGAAAGATTAGAGGACCTACGACACTTCCCTGTGGCACTCCAACAACTACATGCTGAGTACTGGTGTATACATACTGTATTTGTGTATACATACTGGTGTCTACCACTAAGATAAGATTTTAGGTAATTGAAAGAGTGTCCTCTGACCCTGTAATGTTCTAGTTATAGGTGCAAGATATTGTGGTCTACTGTATCAGATGCTTTCTGTAGGTCTGTGAAGAGCCCCAGAGGATATTAATTTTTTCAACTGCTGTATGTAGTATTTTGAGCATCTGAATAATTGCATCATTCGTGCTTTCTTTCTGCCTAAACCCACACTGTCAGGGGTTCAGTATGTTATGGGATAGCAGGTAGGAGTAGATTTGTTTATGAATTATTTTTAAAGATTTTGGGGGCAAAGAACAATTTTAAATATTGGTCTCCCTTTGTTTTTTAAGATTTAATTGTAAGTGGACTTCGAGGTTTTTGTTGGTGCTTATATAGAGCGTTTTGTGGCGGGTTTTTTGCTTAGGGGGTTTTGCTTGCTAGTTTTAGTCCTGTAGTAGAAAAGAGACATTAATTTTGTTGCCGTGTCTTTGGCTGTTTTTGGTTCGTTTTGTTTTCCCCTAAGTTAATTTCGTTTTAGACATTTTCCTTAAACCCCCCAAAAATTTAAAGATTTTTCCCAGGTCTTTTTTATACACCTTTTATTTCATTAAATCTGTTTACATAAAAATTTTTTTGGACTTCCTTATTGTTTTTGAAATTTTTGAGGGTTCGTTTAGTTAGTTCTTTTGTTTTTTGGCCCTGCAAAATTGTTTTTTTTTTAAGATTTTTTTGTGATGGTTTTAAAAGTTATCTTTTAAGAGAGGTGTTTGTCTCTTTGCGAGATCTGCTTTGTTTTCTTTGGGAAACAATGTTTTATAGGGGTTATTGGTTTTTTGTGGAATATTTTGAACATTCTCAATTTATGGCTGTCCGTAACCCCACCAGCCGTCTGTTATGAAAGGCTAATAAAATTAATACTGATGTCTCATCGTGTAGGTGAAAAAGATTTATTGTGCCCTGAGGTATCTCCCAAATTTGGTTTTATGAGGAAAAGTTGGGTGGGCTGTGATTATACCGTTTTTTAAGGGGGATATAATTTGGTCCAATAGATCAATTTAGTGGGATTTGTCTGTGTGTTTTTTTTTTTGGTTTATAGAGGAAGTAGAAGAACTGCTCATAGTGTTTTGAAATCAGTACTCGGGGTAGCTGTTGAATGGGTTTTATTTTAAAAAGTTAACAGAAAAGTAACGGGGGTTTTTATTCACCTCTGAGTCAGTTTCACGTTTTTTAATTGTCAAAATGTTGGGATTAGTGTGAGGTAGTTTGGACTTTAAAAAGGGTTTGAGCTGGGTTTTATGGAAAATGTAAAGGATATGAAAACATTTGGGAAAAAGAAGGTTGTGGAGGTATCTGGTTTTATTATGATCGATACTGTATTTAAATACAGTGGAACCTGGCTTAGGGTTTAATCCGTTCCAATTTACTCTTTCAGTATTCAAATCAATTTTTTTTTAAAATTAATTTGAAAAACCTTAATCGTTCCTGCCTCGGAGCAAGAAAAAATATTGAATAGGTACACATCAAAAGTACGGTTATTTATTATCATTTTCATCTAATATGACAAAATAAACATAAAATTTAACAAGAAGCAGAATAACTTAAAATGAAAAAAATAGGCTTAAATATGGTGGCGAGGCAGTGGGGGAAAGGTCGCTTTTCCTTTTAATTTGACTATAGTATCTTCCCGGCTTTTTTGTAAGAAAA